TGACAAGGGTGTTGACGATTTAAGGTCTCCAGCCTGCCCTGAGAGATCACTTATATCGAACAGCAGATGAAAAGCCAGTGCAGATGTAATTTATCGTCGGCGTTTCCTTCTAAAGAATAATTGTGGAGACTTGGCTAGATCAATAATATGGATTTTTGTTGTTAGGTCTTGTAGTCTGCACCATAATGAGAGATAGGGGACAGTGGCTGTTTTCTAATAGAAAATAAAGGATTGGTTTCCGTGTCTTTCTACATTTGAATGCAAAATGGCACACTTGAAACTAATTCAAGTTGTTAAGAAAAGGACCATTTTCTATTGCATTTCTGCTATCATATAAACATGGCAAGTTAGATCAGCCCCCTGTACAGCAAGTGAAATATTGCCTTTACATTTTCCTAAAAGTTAAAAAGTCTCAAATTCTGAAGTTGGAATGATAAAATTGTTAAGCATATCCAGAAGAATGTAAAATACATCTATGTATCAATACATGCCCATAATATCAAATGAAATATTATGTCTAAATATGAGGGATTCAACCCACATCAAGCTTCAAGGCTAAGAAGTACTGTGCAGTTGAACTTAAAGTCACAGGTGATGAAGTTTTCTCTGTGTTTGTGTGGATATATGTATTTGTGCATATACCACGATACATACACAAATAAGGTAATTAATTCATTGATATGCCTGAAAATGAATGTTGCAGAAAATCAAATGCAGCACCACCTTTCCTGAGCTTAAAAAACAGGGGCCAAATCTCCTCTAGTCTCATGTTTTCAGATCCAAAGCCTCACTGACTCCCTCAAGAGCCCTGCCTGCATGAGAGCTCCCAGATCCAACCTAGAGGAGTGTGTAATGTTTAACTGGCAAATCATTTTATAGGATTGACCAATTTCCCTATTTTAAAGTTGTTTGTTGGTTTTGAATCATTTCTCTGTGGCTGAAAAAGCTGTTCCAAAGGCCCAAATGTAAACTACCCAGTAAATCCATAAGCTTGCAAAGATGCTATGGGTACTCTGTGTCCTCATTAGTGTATGAAGCTGCAGGCCATACTGAAGTCTGCTCCTAGATGTTAAAGACAACATGAGATAATTTATGACAATATATAGATGATGAGCAATTTCTTGGTAGGCATGGAACAGCATTTGACTTTAAAGTGTGAATTTTATGCTGGGGTGTTAGGCATTGCAGCTGGTTAGAAAGATTTATGCTTAAAATTGATTAATTAATTAAATTAATATTTAATTATAATTAAGCATTATGTGTAGTCCTTCTATTCCTTTTCTTTGATGTTTTGATGTATTGAAGTGCTACATGCTGAAGATCCTGATTAAAAAAAAACAAAACAAACCACCACCACCCCAAAAAAAAACGAAGGAAAGAGGTTATGCAGAGGTTATGCTCTGTGTAACAATCATGTATAACCTCAGCAATAATATTACTGACAAACACTTTGCAGTAAAATTCAGACTTTGTTACATCGTTTAGCACATATGCATTCTTCACGTGATAGTTAGGATGGGTTTCCATTCTGCTTTTTCTGTTGGTTTTTTTTTCATTCAATTATAATCACAGATGGCTAGAACTGACTCCTTAAAAGGAGGTACTGAAATTATTTTGTATCTTAGATACTGTCTTGGGATACTCTCATCAATGGACCAAATTTTCAAAAAAGCCCCAAATCCTGTACAATTTCAGTCTGCTTTTCATGACCAGATTTGGGTGCAGAAAATAACAGTACACCGTTTGCTTTATTCTGAAATGAAGATTTATATGTGCCAATCGCATTTCATAGCCCAGCTACCTGGTAGAGGTTAATCAGCATTTTTATGATCCCATTTTAGCGGCAGGGTTCAGGCTGCCTTGGAAACTTTGAAGGAATTGCTTTCCTCCTTGTAGCACGGGGCCCGGGGACTCCTGCGCTGCGGCAACTGGGGTGGGGAGCTGGGGTTCCCCTGGGGCCCCCATCAAGGCAGTGGCAGGAGAGGGCAGCTGGTCTCTGTGGTGCTCTCCGGGGAGCTCCCGCTCACGAGATGGCCTCTTGCTTGTATTAATGCCATCCGAAGTTAACTGAGGCACTGTGCTTTTCCAGAAAGTCCGTGTATTAGCGTGTCTGGTTATGTGGGAATAAACAACATGGAGGTTTCCATCCCTCTGTCTTCACAAGAGGACTTGGTAATTTGACACCCGACCTCTTAACCCAGCCGTCTTTTGTAGAAACTAAATTTCCTTCCCCACGGGGAAGAATTTGAAGGAGACTGTTAGTTTCAATGAATTCAGCATCATTGCCCCGCCAGCCCCCTCTCCGCTATGTTACTGCGAAAGGAGACAATTTGGCTCCAAATCACTAATACGATTCCTTTCTAAAAAAATATTTCTAAAATTTCAGTCTTATCTGAGGTTATTGAGTCTATATCTGAGGTTAGCATTATTAATTCATAATGACCTTCATAGGCTGAGATTGCTGTGCATGTTAGTACATACTGAGTAAAAACATTGCTGTGAAATGATAGACTGTATTTATAGACAACAGGGCAAAATCCTAGCTCCTATTAAAAAAAAAATACTAAAAAGAGAGCATTTACGCACTTTTAATGGGTATTGAGCTTGCCAAAATCTCTCAAATTGGTCCAGAGGTTTGGAATGAAGAATTATCACTTGAAGATGAACAATACGAGTTCTGCTGCAATTTCAGTAGCAATCCCCAGACCTGTTTTCTTTATGTCATGAAAACTTTAGAAACATAAACAGTGCTGAATTGCCACTGGTACTGAATAATGTGGCTTTTATTGTTGCCTGGGCTCTTCTGTATATTCAAGAAAACAATTTAATACTTAATAATAAATAGAAGGTAACTAAAGATGACTGTGATCTAGTCTGTTGAAAATTTCTCAGTACCCTTAATTTGCTAGTAAATTCAATATATTTTATTTAAGCAGAATCAGATATACAGTATATTAACTTTTTTTCCAGGCAATCTTTACTCAGCACAGAAAGGCCAGATGTATGGGAATTGTAAAAAATCAGGATATGCATAAAAACTGTTCAAGTGCATAAAGCAGCCCCATCTGGAAGACATCTAACAGAAATGAAGTTGTACAAAACCATTCCATTGATAATAAAGCTAATTTTTATGGGTCTGACAAGTATGTAATTATGTTCAGTGGTGCTTTTCAGATTTTATCACAGTCAATAAACCGCAGTGGTAATTTCATTCCCATTTGACATATTTACATGGAAACATTTGATTGGAGGAATTAGTAACCCTGAAAGCCTTGATAGATATGTTTTAATGATCTGTGACCTCCGCAGTCCCTCATCTGTTTATTGTTGCAACAGGCGAGAAGTCGTTCCTCTGTGACCTTTGTGGCTTTGCCGGCGGGACACGTCATGCCCTCACCAAGCATCGGCGGCAGCACACAGGTCAGTAAAGCTGTCTTTACTCTTTGCTATATTTTCTCCAGCAAGGGAGTCCCTCTACACTGGGGAGTAACGCAAGTCAAATAGCACATTACAGCACAAATAATACATCGGGCTCATTGTTTACTTTGCTTTTTCTCATTTTTTGTAAAATCAGTATGCCCCACGTCTGCATGAAATCTGTTAGCTGGGAATTTGAATAATTGCTTGGGGGGGAGCGGGGTGTGGTTTTGGTGGTTTTTTCTGAAGGAAGTAGAATTGTAAAGGCTGGCTTTCTTCTTTAAATGAATGCTAAGTCTAGTTTTTTTTTTTTCCAAGGCCCAAATAGATTACCTACTGTGAAGATTTTGCAAGAGTCTGCTAGAATGTCCCTGGGTGAAAATTAGAGACTACGTATAGATTAATCCATTATTTTGGACTGAGACATAGTTGAAAGCTAGTGTTGTTTCAGTTGCCCTTTTGTAATTTTAAGATAGTTTGTAATTAATAGGTGCAACTTTAAGAGTTACCACATGGTTGGCATGTAAAACAGGATTTCTCTCCCAGAATTATTAAAGCTTTCCTACCACCTGGTTATAAAGATTTAATATCAGATAAAATTAAATTGGTTCTTAGTTTCAGAAGACCAGAAAAAGTGTAAGAATTAAACATTTATTAATACATTTTACCTTAATTGTGCTTTTTAGTAGTTCCTTGTAAGTATTTGATTATTTGAATAGATTTTATTCAAACAGATGCAGAAATGTTGCTGCTTAAGCCACTGTAGTTTTTGTTTTACTGACTATCATGAGGATAATGTAATATCATCAGGAATTGCTGTGTGAGTTAAGTGACCATTGTCTAATGTAGAGTGGAAAGAAATGGCTAACAAATGAGAAGCTGTAGTTGTTACATCATGAATTTTCCATGGATTTTGTAAAGGAATCTCAGTGGGAGATTTTATTATGTCCCTGAATAAATGAGTCTTGATTCAGGACATACACCATCTAAGTGCGTAATTTCCTGGAGAGCAGCTACTCTATTTCTTGAGAGCCTGAAGCCATTCTTTCCACCCTGTTTTCAGTTTATTAAAGCAACCGTATTTGGGGGAAAGCCTGATGCTTTCAAAAAGGTGGGGTTTTCAGTGCCGGTCAGGCAATATCTTGAAACGGATAAGCTCTAAAAAAACAATACGCAGGGCCAAATTTTGCTTGCAAGTCTAACTAGTAATCATGCTTCCGGAATTTTCCTTCTGATAACAAGGAACATACATTTGTGTGAGAGTACTGCCACAGTCAGTTCCCGTTAACTGCAGGAAGTTTGTATTTTTAAAGTGTCCGAGAAAAGGCATTTAGTAAATATAAGAAGTTCTCTTAGTATTACACTCTCTGAATGATAACAGGAGCAATTGCGACTACTGAAATGGAAGTTGTATGCTTCAGTTGTAACTAACGGTTTCCATTTTTCTGGAGCTTTGAAGAATTTTCACATGTTGGCTGAAGTTTATCAAATGTAGGCTAAGAATGAAAATGAGGTTTTTTTCTTTAGCAGAAATAAATCATTGCTATCTATGGGATGGGAACTACCTTTTGTTTTTTATTGGCCTGCCACGTAGCACACTGGGATCGTGCATATGTCTAGGACTCATAGTGCAACCACACAAATGGTGAACAATCATTTCAGAATGGAAAAGTGGAAGAAATGCATATTGTTGTCTTTGCTCTTCTTGTCTTTACCTATTACGTGAGTGCAGATCTGGTTTCTCAGAAATGTAAGCCCTTATCATCAGTTACATATTTATATTTTTTGTATCATTAGGCCACAAGCGGATAGAAAAAACATTTTATTTCCTGGTTTATGTGCAAAATTAGGCTGAAAATATGGTATGTTCCCTGTGAAAAGCTGTCCAGGTTTTTGATGGCATTTTGCCCTTCTTTTGCCAGTATGGTAGAGACTTTTCTGCTATGATCACAGGGATTCACAGGTTATAGATCATGAAGCTTGCATCTAGCAGGCATAACTTTATATTTTATGTCAGGACTGGAGGCTCGTTATTACTTTGCTATTAACTTTATACTATACAGGACAGTATCTCAGAGGCAGAGGGATCTATCTTTTTGGCATTTATCTGCCTTTGTGGCACAAACAATCAGAGATGATTCTTTAGCAGAAAAATTATCTGTAGCTTCTATTTGTTTCAAGGAGAATGACACAATCCACCTTTGCCTGCATTGTTGCACTTACATGGGTTCCCTTGTATTTTCATCCAGTGCACAACTTTATCTCAGTCCTTAGCTGCATGCACTCCTCTTTGTACCTGTATTTTTTCTTCTGTGTCCCCAGTTGGCACAATTTTCCCAGAGCAGAATGCCGAAGCAAATTACAATCAGGTTTGAAAGGGATAGGTATCAAGAACAGTCTAAATGGCTTAAATAATTCCCTACTGTAATACAAGCTGTCTAGGGGGCTGACACAGAACATCTTCCAATCCAAGATTTACTTCTATCACCTGTCAGAGACCCTTGATTCAAGGGCAAATGAGCAAATCCTCACATGTATTTGAGGAGTCTTAACCGGCTTAACAAGCTTCCTCTCGTCCCAGCCTCAAGGCCTGAGGTGTCCTGACACCCAGAGAAATGTTCAGCTGCTGATAGATATTTGACACAAGAGAGAACTGGCTGTAGGACCGACCAGCTGCTTAGACTTTTGATGCTCTTGATTCTGGTATTTCTTACTCAGTTACTCTCTGTTGAGATGAGATTATTTTTATGTACCTGGAGAAATACCATTACCTTGTGAAAGATGCATTTTCTTTGGAAATATTACAGCGAGCACAAAGTATAACTCGGTGTGAATAAGGCTGGCAGTATCTGGCCCTCGGTCACTTGTGGAGCAAACTGCAGGGACTAGTTTGGTAAATAGGATGTTATCCCTGGAAGATATGTTCTTGGTTTTTAAATGAAAAGAAGTACAGGAATGTTAAACTGAAAGAAAAAGCCATTAGTTTTAAGACTTGGAAAATGTTTGTACTTAATTTATTTGCAAACATGATGCATCTCCATACAGATTTCCTTGATATAGGCTTTCTCAACTGTAAAGTAGAACTGTGAAGTAGAAAAAAAAAAAATTGACCTATCAAGAGATCCCTGGTGTTTCACCAGTTGACGTTTTTGTTCTGTGTTAAATATGTTACGCCCTTAATGTCTGACCTGGTCCTGTGAGAAGCGCACACTTTGAACACAGAATAAACTAAGTCTTTGGCTGATTTTGTCCTGGTAAAATGTTCTAGCATTATTTTATGACCTGAATGCATCTTCTTCCAGTCCTATTTTGCAAGAATCAATCTATGAAATTCTCCACGTCTTTCACTGGCTATGTAAACATCAGTGGCCCAATCTTCTATTTTGTGAATTGAAGCAATGGCAACTTCAGGAGTGCTCCAGAGTTTGACCAGAATTTTATCACACTGTAAAGAATACTTACATCTCTGTCTTTGTCGAATGCTTTACAATAGACAGTTGTGGCTGCCTAGGCTGTGAGTAGAAACTGTCTTAAGAGACTTAGACCACTTGCAATATCAGCTGATGCTATGTGGTAAATAAGGGACAGCTTGAGGTGCTACAAGAACGATATGCTGTAGTTCTTGTTGCCTCAACATGACTGGGAAGAAAAACTTCCATCTTTTGAGTCATACTGAAATAATTTTTTTTGATTCATGTTTTGTCCCAGTAAGAAAATCTGCCTGAAGAGAGGAAGATAAATAACGTTGCAAAGTTTAGTGTTGGCTGAATTTAGAATTAGTTGAATTCCACAGAGAATTTAAGCGATTATCTGAATTTTATAATAAAAAAGAGTAAATAACCTCTAAATCAGCCACCAAAAACGCACACGAAAAGAAACATCTAATATCACATAATTTAAATATTTTGCCTTAATCATGATCAACTAGGCAATTGCATAAGAGATAAAAAACAAGCAAGGGTAATTATTTCTGGCTTGAAATGAAAACATGAAAACACTTAATTCTTAATTTTAAAATGTCTTTTTTTTTTTATGTTCTTGTTGTTGTTGTTGTTCTGCTCTCCTCCTTTGTTTGTCTGCCTTTTGGTATCACTCTAGTTTTCCCTTCTTCTACATGTTTCCCAGTAAACTTTCATTTCGTGCTGCAGTAGCTGACTCAATCCAACAGTGCTGATCAGTCACAGCCTGTGTTCCTTTGCATGAAATTCCTTTTTTAATCTTGGTTAGTACTCCTGCAAATTGCAAAAACCCCATCCTCATCTTCTACACAATGGCAGTCTACATTTGCTTCTCATATGTTGGTTGCGGTGGAATCTTCCTGAGGATCATACTACATTACAGTAGTAGAGCATTAGAGCGTAAGTACACTTACTGTGCACAGCAGTTCTATGACAGTCACCCTGAACCTGTGGAACTGCTTAAGAAGATTGTGTCTTTGTTCAAATATTTTCATGAATTTTTGAAGATGGTAGCTTATATCATACAGATCACTGTTTGTATGATTGCTTCTGTTCATTCATTTCAATCTTGAGCTACTCAAGACATTTATAGGTCAATGTAATAAAGAAAGAAAATTTAATAATATATGTGTTTTTATCCAGATGAGTGACTCACTTTGTGTTTCTATTTCTCATGTGAACTGCTCTTTGACTTTAATGTGTAGTTACGTTACTCGGCATTGAATCTAATGTATAATGTAGCCTCTTCCCTTCAACTTCCCCACCACAGGTTAAAAAAAATTATAATGTTGAATACCACAGAAAATGTAGCACAGTAAGAAGACTTACTGCTCTTTTCAGCAAGAGGAGAGGTGAAATTTCAAGAGGATCTGTGTTTTTTTCCTTTTCCATTTATGCCAACATTTGCAGCAGAGTGCGGAACTTGATTATAGCAAACCTTTGGCCAGAAATGACACCAAAAACCTGGGTATCTTAAAACGTTCTCTCTACCTAAGAGAAATTGTCTAGTGGAACAGTTTTCCTCCCGTTTCTGAGCATACAAATGTCAATCATTTTTTGCTATGGAAGAGCAACCCTATGGCATCTACAGGGTTTCTCATAAGAAAGCAAGGGATCAAGAATGTACTTATTTTTATATGTCTTATATGCAAAAAAGTTGACCAGACTAAAAGCAAACAATTTACTTTAATATACTTCAGGCTTCGTTAGCAAGCCTGTAAGTGCCTCTCCAGGGAACAGCCTTAACAAACACTAGATATAGTTGGAAGTAAGAAGAAAAAATCCTGTAACGTGTAAGCAGATGGCTGTGTTTTGTGGTCTACTCATTCCTTAGGTCAAGCGAAACTTATAGGATTCTTTTTGTGCTGCTCAACACATCACGTGAAAGACAAATAGGACTAAAAGCAATAGTTTCCTGTTGAAACAACTGGGGTAAGATTTCTTCCATCTTACTAAGATTCTGATTAGTTGCTCAAGACTTGCAAATTGAAGGCACCATTTGATTCTTATTTTTTTCCTTCATTTATGTTAAAGCTGGATCCTCAGTGGCACATTCATATAAATGTTGTATATAATCTATAGGTAGACATTGTCTGGACAGTCATGATTATAAACAAAAATTTCACTTTTCCACCCAGAAATCAACATCTATCACCAAGATTTATAGTTTTTGTTACTGTGTTATTTCATTTTTCCTTTAAAAAGTACATGTTAAGTACATAACTGCACAGAGAAACTTATGATTGCAGTAAGGTATGCTCTGTGTCCTAAAAAGCTCATCATCAAAGACAGAAAACTCACAAGAGGTAAAATCAGAGAAAAGAGGAAGAAGGAAAGAAAAAGAACGCCGTAATTTGGGGGGGAAGCTAAGATAGATGCTAAAAGAAGTCAGTGCAGAATTTGGAGAGGCAAGGGAAAAAGCCTTAATCATGATGGTTTAAGAAGAACAGAGTGGGTAGAGCTGATGAGGCTATTTAGCAGCAGGCTTAATAACTGCTGTTGTACAGACTCATACTCCCCATGATCTGACCCTTTTATCAGGTGCTTTCGCAAACTTCGATTGTTGGAGCTAAAATTTTCCACGTCAAGTGACCTAAACAACTGATGCACTTCAGAAGTTACTTGCAGTATTGTCAAAAAAGCAAAACCATTTCTTCTTTTGTGATCCTGCGGTTAAGAAACATAGCTTTTTGAAAGTGCTTATGTTAAAAACAACATAAAAACCCCCAAAGATAGTGGGTCCTTGATCTTGGAACGTGTGTCCTTCCTTTTCTCCCCCACAGAGCTTTTTGTCCATTGGGGCATTTGGGGGCACCTATCCTTTTTTGTGGGGTTTGTTATTGATAAAGTTAGAGATGGTGAGGCACGGACAAGTCTTCTGTAACGGTAAGGTTGAGGAGGGTGGTGGTTTGGTGGTTTTTTACCTTTATTAATCTTTATTAATACATAGACTTTGTCCTTACTCACACATTTTTGGATACGCTATTTTATAGTTATTACATAGTGTTGTTTAAAAAATACTGTCGATACTGCTTTTTTGATTTGTGTTATTTTAATTTTGTATGAATTAGATCCTTGACTGGGGATGAGGGAGAATCCTCCTGGCATATTTAATGGCAGCCCATATAAAAATAAAATTAAGTTTATTGCCTGAAATGTCTGGGGGCAGGAAGGGAGGAAGGAAAATTGGGACACAAGGGCTGATAAAAGAGCATTGTGGTCCAAAGATAAGGAAGACATTAAATACTTAAATGAGTAGGTCTGTGGAAAACTTAAATAAACAAATAAATAAAAGTACTGCTGCTACAGCGAATATATTCTTCAACACCCCCCAACCCAAAGAAATACCTAGTCTTCCTTTAGATCTTTTCAACTGTACTTATCAACCTGGTTAATTTTCCATAAAAATAAATACTTTTTCCCATGTGCAGCTGCTAAGAATTACAGGCCATGCTAGGCCGTCTTTTTTCCTCCCAGTTTAGTTGGCTTTTGTTGTGTGGTGCTGCTGTGATGTATTTTCTGTCAGGTGAGATTTACACATAGTCCACTTGACAGGAACAGCTAGCCACAAGGATTTCCTAAGGAGAAACTTCCTGGAGCAGTGGACAAGGATTATCATTTTTCTTTTGGTCACGATGGAATTTGCAAGTCCTCCTGGCTTCCACGGGCCCTCGCCTGTCTGTCAGTCCCACTTGCCCTGCCCCAGCACAGCAGCAGACCTTTACCTGATCCATCCTCCCCGGAATGGCAAACTAAAAATCTCCTTTCAGTTCAGATCTGCTTTTTTTTTTTACAAGGGGGCAAGTTGGTAAGGTTCTAATGCATTTTTAATTAAAGCAGTTAAAATAAGTCTGTATGTTATCTAAAATACCTGTGGCTTTACTACTTAGGCTTAAAAATGTTGCTATCTTCTCTAATACTGTAAGATAAAATAAATCAGGCACAGGAAATCTTCAGTTCAAGAATAGGTTACGTTGCTAGGGAGTCTATGGCCTCCCAGAGAGTTTAATTGAAGAAGCAGCCAGTACCATTCAAACTGCTGGGAGAATCAGCTTCCTCAGAGCAGAGAGTCAGTGTCTGACAAGAAAACCCCATTTGGGGCAGGAAAGACATACTTTCTAGCAGTCTCAATTTGTCCAGCATAGAGGCTTCCGCATTGTGTCCTGCCCCTTCACCTTTCCTTGTCCCATGAAACAATAAATGAAAAATAGTAGCTGGTATTCTCTGCAGCAGCTGCTAAAAGCGATTATTCCAACTCTTTATAGAGCTTTCAGAAGCTGCTCCGTTGTCCTTCCTTACAGCCTTACAGGCTTTTCAGACCTGAGGACCTTGCATTTCTTTTTCACTTGGGAGGGGAAAAAACCCAACAGTCTCCAAGAATGAAAAATGCAGATTTCTCTCTCTTCTCAGAATTCTGGCAAAGTATCTTTGGAAGTCTTGAGTGTCTCATGTTTTAAGCAGGCTTGAAAAATCTGGCTTGGAGGCATGGCTGCTTGGCAGAGGCCTTTTGCTAGTGACGTGTCTTCTGCTGGTGGTGTGTGTCCTGTCAGTGTGAAAAACTCCAAATTGTACCTGCTAAGAGGCTTAGGGTTCAATTTTGAAACTGCCTATTCTGGACCTCTGAACAGTCTACAAGGTTGGTGTCCATCCCTAGCAGTTTTATTCAGACTTCTTAAGTTAGGGATGTTGGTTCCTTATGTAGTCTTTAGAATAAATACTTCTGAAGGCTTGCACAATGCAGTCAAGATCACCTAAGTTAGGAGCTGCCTTCTATCTTCTGTGTACAAAAAGAAACCTGTTTCCTCCCTAAATGGTAATTACACATGCCTGTAAGCCTCACAGAATATTTCTGGAGCAACCAGTTGGAAAAATGGGATGCAGGTGTCTTAGCTAGGCGTCACAGTATGTGTATCTGTCATGAGATTTTGTCTTAGTGTCTTCTGAGGGGTGGACCCCTTCCACTGGAAGGAAAAGTACTCTTTTCACGTAATAATTTATAAGCTAGAGATTTTTATCTTTCTTCAATTAGTAGTCCTCTAGAAATTTTCAGTGCAGTTGCATATTCAGCAGAGATTTAATTTTAGTCTTCTGAAAATATTATTGTCCTAGTCTAGGTTTGGTGGTGGTTGTTTTACGGGGGTTTTTTTCATTAACCTTTCAAGTCCTGAATTGGCCCACTGTTCAGAAAAGAGTCACAAGGGCAGAAGGATAGCAGGCAAGAGAGGGGGAATGGAGCACTGAGTTCTGGTTCATATTCTCAGTCCTGGTTTATGTGTATTATTTAATGGATAAGATGAAAAATCCAGGAGCAGAGACAAAAACCAAAGGCACTTTGCTCCCGGAGATGTTCCTTTCTGAGCAGGCACTGAATACAAGCTTCAGACTGATTTCTCGCCTTCTGTCTCCAACAGTGTTGCTTTCAGGGCTGTGCATGGGCCCAACTTCAACAGAAGGTGTAGGGTGAGAGGACTGCCTGTCACCTGGTGATGATATTTTCATGAAACAAGGCCCAGTAACACGGTTACCCTGTTTCGGTGCAGTTCTTTCTCCTCCTTTTTGCTGCTGTATAACACCACATGGGAAGTCAGCTGGCTACTGATGTGTATATGTCATAGTGAGAATAGTATTTTGCAGTTAATACACTGTATTTGGAAATTTATTTTGTATTTGTGGTGGTTATATATACATGGACTAAAATCTATCTCAAGGGATTTGCCAGAAATTTAGACTTTTCTTCCTTTTCTGTTGATGAAAACTGATAATGCATATCTTCTCTTGTCACCTTCTAGGAGAGAAACCATTCAAATGTGATGAGTGTAACTTCGCTTCCACAACACAATCGCATCTGACACGACATAAGCGTGTCCATACTGGAGAAAAGCCTTACAGATGTCCCTGGTGTGACTACAGGTAATGAGTCATTAACTAAAGCGTGATGAGAGAAGGGTTAAGGTGATCAGATGAGGTTCATTTGAAGTCACCAATAAAAATATATTGCCATTAAAACACCATCAGGGCAGCAGTAATTGCATATTAAATTAGGAGCTAAATTTAAAAACTTAGTCTTCAGTATTTAGGTATTACTTTATAAAGAAAAACAAATGATGGGAAACCTTTTAGCGGTAAGACTGCAGTGCTAATGTTGAGTGTTTGTTTCACAGCTGCTCTAGTGTCTGTTAGAATTCTCCATGGTGAGGCTGCTTATCTGCATCGCCTTTTCAAATCAGTTGCAGTTTTGAAATTTTTCTCGGTTGAGTTGCAACCATTTCACCAAGAAAGGAAAAGTCCCCTAAAAGGCTTAGCAGCCTAAATACTCACCAGACGCTTATTAGAACGGGAAGCAACTGGAGCTAGTTACAGTGCTGCAGAGTCTTGTTTTTCTGCTCCAGTTTTCCTTCTCCTTGCCAGCCAAGTTGTTTGGATGAGAGTTGGCCATAGGGTGGTTACATGGAAAGTCTCCCATGTTCCACCATTAAAACCCATCCTGTTAGGACAGTAGATTAAGTTCTCAAAAATCACATGAATGGACAGTTAAGCTTACTTGTGGTGCTCATCCCATGTGTCTTTTGTGCATTGTAGACTACTTATTAAATGATCTCATTGCTTCTTAAATAAGTCTTTACTCTTCTTAAACATACTTCTACAATCTTGAATACTTTCAATACCTTGCAGTGAGGTGGCTAGTCTATGTGTACTATAAAGGAATCCATAGACGTTATTTCATGAGCAATTTGCAAGGTTGACATCCAAAAAGTTTTTAAAAAATCAGTATTATATTTGATAAATGGCATAATTATGTAATTAGATGCATGTGCTGTGATGCATGCACGCAAGAGGAGAAAGTTAAACATTTGATTATACCACTATAGCATTTTTTATTTTCTTTTAATGGTGAGCATACAACTGTAATGTTCTTTTAGTATAAGTTTTAATGTAGTTTCCTAAAACAAGATTATGTAACAAAGGCTAGCTGCTCTCATAATACCTGGTTTCATGCTATTTATGAGCTGCCTTAAAGAAAGCTCCTGTACAGAAAGCTTCTGCAGTGATCATGCAATTTCTGTGCAAAAATTTTTGTTGCATTGGTTTGTGCATGCAGAGTAAATGTTCTGTGAACTCTTCTGTATTGAGCACCCATTAAATTACTGCCTAGAACTGCAAAGAACTGAATTTGATAACCTCGGGGGGGGGGGTCCCCCCTGCTTTTTTTTTTTTTTTAAATAGAATTGTTTCTGTCAGCTTCAGTAAGTCATCTAAGAAAGGAAGGTAGTTTTGTGTTTGTCAGAGTGGTTGCATTAAAAGGTCTGTGTTGAGTGAAGTGAGAGCATATAAGCAATAGTGTGACATGATATGCTGCAATGAAGGTAAAAGGAGTGCTGTCTTTGATGCTGCATGTTTGAGGAGGCTTAATCTTGGGGTCATCCACTTTAATGAACCGTCCCGATTGGAAGGAATAGTCTTATTACAGAACTAGGTAATGAGAGGTAGGTTACGGTGGGTTTGAGCTCCTGGCTTGAAGACCCTAGAGACTGGGAGCACTGTAGATGTGAATCAGTTTGCAGTTTGGGGGTTCTTACACACATGCAATGAGTGGATGCAATTCCCTCACTCAGTATGACAAAATGCGTAACTTCAATGCTCTGTTTAGTGAAAGACAGGAGATCATTTTTCTTTGGATGGACAGTTTTCTGTATGGGATAGAAAGTCCAAGAAATCACAAGTTTTTTTACTAGTATTTTATTATATTGGAGGTTATTAGAGTAGAAGCAAGCATAACTTATTTTATCAGGATTGACAAGAAATCTCTGAGCATCCCCTGCCTCTCTATTATTGAAAAATAAACGTTTCATGGTAATAAGACATTAGTTTCCATCCCTTGCATGCCAATTTTGACCTAATCTTTGGAGGCTGATCTCTGCAGATACCAGCTGATGAAGCTTTGATTCTGCAGGAAATTTGTTCTGAGCTCAGCTGAAAAACATCTGGCAGGGATGCAGAAATCAGAGCTGTGCTGCTGCTGCAAGTTCGTAGAGGCAGTGAGGCACTCTGTGTAGCTGCAGAGGAGCCAGCAGAGGGGCTGCTGTATTTATTAGCCCAGCAGTCCTGCTTGTGCCTGCCAGTTTCCACAGTCCTGGGATATTAGCCAGCCTTGTTGGCAAGTATAATTTTTGCTCTCTCTCCACCTCTCTCATTTTTTTCCTCTCTCTTTTTTTTTTGTTTTAAAATATAATTTTAAGGGAATCACATGTTGCCTCCTTGTCAACTCACCCAGTACTATCTCTTTTCATGGAAAGGTATTAGCAACTCTGTAAATAATGTCCTTTATACCAGTTCAGCAGATGGTACGTGCTCTTGCAAGTGTCACCTACAGAAAACATAAAATCAAGATTTTAAAACCTGCTGACCTAGTGATAAAATTCACCCCCATGTCTAGTGGTTGAGTTCTCACTGTGGTGCTTTCAGCTCAACCCTTGCACTGTAAATTCATCCAGACTATTTCAGATGTTGCCGCTTAGTGTTGCTTGGCAACTGCAGACTCTTTAATGACCCTTGTAGTTTCAGCGAGGTGAATATTCCTCAATTTGTGTACGGATATGGAGTAGAGTATTGTTAGTGCTACCATAAACCCTCCTTTCACCGATAGGTGAAGTGATCTCTCTATTCTATAAAGTAGTTTGAGACACTTGAATTAAAAAAGTGTGTAAATACAAGGTATTTTAATTATACCTGTTCAGCTCATCAGTGCTCAGAGGGTTCTTGGAGAGTCCTGATTTCAAGCTTTTCAATTCCCTGGGAGGAAATTGTGAACACTCATCCTGCAAAAACTCTTGCCAGTCTAGCGAGTGAAAGGCTAGCTAACCCTGGCTAGAAGTGCAGAAAGAAAGGCTATTAAGAGAAACTAATCTGAAGTTAGGAACTGTTATGAAAATCCGGATCACCTGTGACCAGACAGGCACCTAGAACTCTGTTTGTTTGCTTGCTTGCTTGTTTGTTTTGTTTAGCAGCAAAAACATAAGTGAAATAGGCTGTAAGATACCATGGGAAAAAGATTGATTTTGGCTGCATGGAACAGAAAAGGGAATTTATTCCCTATATAACCTACAGCATGGGAAATTCTTTTCTTAACTAGGAAAAGACATGAATGGATGTGGTTTTCTGAAGTGGATAATAAACTAACCTAGCATTTTCAGCTCACAAATTATATATTCTCAATAGTATGCATAGTCCCAAAAAGAAAATGGAAGACTTTGCTCATTTTATTTTATCAAGTTGCTTTTATAAACTATGCTTACGGTTGTACTTAAATATTTTTGCAAAGATGTTACCTTCCATTTCTACTTCTTGTACTATGACCATTTGATATTTATTTTTGGCTAAATCTTTTGTATATTGATAACAAAGAAATGAACATGTGCATTTCTATATAGCAGTATGCAATTTCTAGTAACGATTATAATTTGAAATTACATTTTCAGTCTAGATTTTACAATCTAATTCCTTTTGAAGGAAGAAAAATATAATATATATATTCATAAATATAAAAATTTGCTTGTTAAATGTCTTGGTTATATTTTTTCACATTTGTGTTTTCAATTTAGGTTTGCCCTATTTAGATAAAAATATACACAATTTTCCTTTGCATTTACTTTTTCAAATCACACAGCGTGTCTCTCCATTCTTAAGTCAGTGTGCTTTGTCATACAAAAATATTAATTCACTCCTAATTAATGTTCAACTTAATTTTATAATACAGAATTGGTCTCATAGGGCCCTACACCACCATTACATATGCAGTGCTTATTTTATATTTCTTAGTCATTTAAAAAAGATGTGTTATGTGGCTAAACTTTTCAGATGACGCGATCCTAGAGTTATACTGACAGCCAATACTGTTTGCGTTTGGTAATGGGCACAGTAAGTGGTGAAGAGACGTATAGCCTCCTGAAACTGAACAATGCCTGTGAACTTCAACTGATTTCTAAATCTGTTGGTGGTATAGTCTGTGGCCAGACTTTCTGAACCTGCAACACATTTAGGCACCTGAATTTAACCTGCTTTCAGAAGTACTAAACTCCCATAAGTCTGATGATGTCAATGAAAGATGCAGATATACAACATTTTCAAAAACTGAACTGGTTTTGTGCATGTGTCTAAAGTAAAGAATTAGGACTCTCATTTTAGTCATATGTTAGGCTTTAAATGCAACTCCCATTGGTACTGACTTTCCATGTAACTATCACAGCTTCTCAGGCAAGTAATAATTTATGTTCGTGGTGTGTGTGAGGGGGGTGTTTCAGTACAAAATGGATCTGGATTACATTGTTGGGGAAAAAAAGGGGCGGGGGGGTGTGCTGAGCAGAAGGCAGAGCCCTGCTTTTCTCGCATAGTCAAATTTGTTGGAGTTCAGGGCTCAGGAGGAGCACTGGCATACTTTCGTGATACAGAAACAGTATTGCTGCAACTTTGGCCATGAGAGTGTGGGACAGGTATAATGTTGATGTACTTTGTGCCATCCCTGTGCTGTAATTAAACAAAATGACTCTTGTTTCTCTGGGATTCCACTGTATGGTTAATTTTGCGTAGAGTACCCATGGCGGTGGGGGAAAGGAGTGAATAGAGGGCAACATCCAGGGGACTGCTGATGTTCCGCAGCCATAGATAAGAGGGTTTAGAAGCTACATAAAACAAACAGCCAGGCCAGCAAACAGCATTAATTCTGTAAATGCACCTTTCTATAAAGTATATGACTTGTGAATGATGTCTTACAAGACTGAGAATAAATAGCATACATTTTTAATATAATTATGTAAGCTAAAATAAATATTTTACATTTATTATGCATAATAAAATAATTAGACAACATTCTCTAAGGGATTATGGCATCTGAAATTCCAACTGCAGAAGGATTC